GAAGACTTCCACCATTGAAGACTTCAAGCTTTCATCATTTCCAAATCTGTAAACTCTTTCTAGTTATATTTCGAATTTGTGTTTGAAATGATTATGAGGAACTAAACTCCATAGCTAGGGCTTAGGTTGAGGCCCTAAACATGATTACCTTATTGTTTTGATGCTTGAGTGTATGAATTTCTAGATATTGTTGATGAATTCCAATTCACCAAATTAATCTATCCTTGATGTATGTTCTTCTTTGATTGATCACCTTTGAAAGCATGCTTCTTGAGGTTGTTGGGATTATGTGTATCTTCATGTTATCCTAAGCAATAAATGGATGAAGTAAGAATCATCCATGTGAATTGGTTTCTTGAATACCTAATGTAAACACCATGCTATTAGGGTTCTTGTGATGTTCATATTCTCTTTGAACTTAATGGGTTTTTCTTGTAATTGAATCAAAGTACTAAGCACACCTAGATTCGATTATAGGGAAGGCACAAGTATTGTAGCACTCGTACTGCACTTTACGTACATTAGAGAGAATCAATGCGTCTTGAGCCACTCGTACTGGTCTTGATTGCGAACATCTTCAACAACATGTTTAGAGTTCATCACTTGAGTATTCATGAACATTGGTAGAATTGTTTAGGGTGGATTCCGAAACCCTAGTGTTTGTTACATTTTTATTTCACATTGTGATAATTCATCTCTGCTATTCTCATTTAAATTCAAAGTCCATTTACTTTCATGCAATAGAAATAACCGTTTGATCGTGCGATCGCCAGCGATATGACCGTTTGATTCGGACCAAACTTGCAGGATGTGTATTCTAAATTTTGTTGAACCCATAGAAACTTTCAGATTGTAAATTGGAGGTCATGGGCCTCGCGAGCTGGTTGACCAATTTTGGAAAGTTTGACCGTGAGTCTTTCGAGGTAGTTTCACCCTTCGAAAAGTGTTAGGATAACCTTGTAAACTAGTCTTATTTGTCTTATTTGAGTTATGTTGACTATGTTGGGATTTTGAGATGATTTTATAATATGGTATGAATTCTTTGATTATTAGTTTGAATGGTTTTAGGATTTTATGAAATTTATGCTTATGTGAATGATCGTTGGTTTGAAATAGTATTATTCCCATGGATTAAATTACTATGTAATCTACTATGGAATTATATGATTATGGAATGAAGACATATATATTTATATGTAGATTCCTAAATTGGGAATATTTCTATTATTTTGGTATTTGAGATTATAATTATTCGGAATACGGGTTATATATGTTGATGAAATAACTGGGCAAGAGATCAATATAGGATAGGGTACTCTAGTGTTTGGTTATGTGAATATGGGATTACACTATGTTGAGTACTCTCCCTTGGTTGTGGTACCCACACGTGGCGTTGGATGATTCCGGCGCGTGGGCATATAAGGTTGGTTGTTAGTTTTCACACGTGGCGTTGGATGATTCCGGCGCGTGGGCATATAAGGTTGGTTGTTAGTTTTCACACGTGGCGTTGGATGATTCCGGCGCGTGGGCATATAAGGTTGGTTGTTAGTTTTCACACGTGGCGTTGGATGATTCCGGCGCGTGGGCATATAAGGTTGGTTGTTAGTTTTCACACGTGGCGTTGGATGATTCCGGCGCGTGGGCATATAAGGTTGGTTGTTAGTTTTCACACGTGGCGTTGGATGATTCCGGCGCGTGGGCATATAAGGTTGGTTGTTAGTTTTCACACGTGGCGTTGGATGATTCCGGCGCGTGGGCATATAAGGTTGGTTGTTAGTTTTCACACGTGGCGTTGGATGATTCCGGCGCGTGGGCATATAAGGTTGGTTGTTAGTTTTCACACGTGGCGTTGGAACTTCTGGCATATAGGCATATATGATTTTGTTGTTAGTATCACACGTCGCATTAGATCTTCTGGCGTGTGATAAAGTAATAGGGAGCGGCAAAATTGATTATTTTACCATATCGGGAAAAGATTAATGTTAAAAAAGGATTATGTTTGGTATGATGTGATTTAATGTAAAGAGAAAAGATAATTCTATAAATAACTTATTTGTTCTACTGTAAATGGTTGTATATCATCTCGTTCGTGATTAGGGATGGAAGAACTATGTGTAGCTTGATCTCTCAGTAAGGGTACGTAGGTAGCCTGGGATTCCACCCAGGTGCAGCCGCGAACTGAAGATACTTCTAGAACTTTAATTTAGTCATGTGGATCTAGTCTCACTCCTTTTGGTTTTGGATGAGTTTGGTGCCGACCTTGTCGATGGTCTTAAAGCTCGATTGAATATTCACTTTCCGTTGGACTAGGTGAGTATTGTTAAAGGGTAGTACTGAGTTCTGTTTTGTATCAGAAGTAAACTGGTTTGACCAGATTATCTTATTTATTACCACCTTTTATAGAAAATTCACATCACAAATTATAATTTCTAAGACTAAAGCTTGTGCTGAATTTAATTTGGCTGACGACTAACACAGTCCATATAACGATGCAATCGATGCATTTAAATATGTTCTGCTCTACCAATTAGAATTCATAAACTAACTATCCCGTTCAATGACTTTGATTGATAAATATTCAGTCATTCAACAAATTGCTTGGGCATTTGAAATGTATGGAAAAGTACTGAAACATGTGTTTTTGTTGTGCTGTGTTCTTTGCATGATCATAGAATATATGTAAGCAAGTAAAGTGGCCATGGCCAATAAAGAAAGAAGAGGCTAAAAACTTGTACAGCCTAAAAGAACAACCATAAAGAGAACTATGAGATGACCTAAGATTATATTCCCTCCAAAGTCGATCAACCAGATCCTTATTTCTATAAGCACCAAATCATCCTTATTTCCGTTAGTTTATGATTGGTAAAGAATAGTTATATGTTGTTGCTGATACAGTCCGCACACTCAACCGGTCCCTTGTGGGGATGGCAACGGGCCAGGTATGGAAATACCATCCCCGTCCTCGCTTCCCATCCCCGGCCCCATCCCGGTTTAAGCGGTTTCGGGGAATCCCCGTCCCCGTACCAGTCCGGCGGCTATCCCCCATCCCCGGCCCGAATCTCCCTATTTTTTGAAATGATCTTTATGTTTCCAAGATCATCATTCATAAAGCTTACTTACACTTCTAGAAGATGGTGCAAACCTATGTCCATAATATGATGAGATACGAATTGATAATCAGCATGTATAAAACAAACTGCAAATTAGATCCAATCACAGCATCATATGATCTATTGCACAGAAATATAGTTGTGAATCTCATGCAATTTATTGTTAGTGATCAAGACAATTTTTTGGGTGGTTAAATTAGAAGTTGAAGAACAGGGTTAGGACTTTGGAGGGCAAGAAATAGGTAAGATCTATTTAAACTAATTTATAAAAAAATTACAATATTAATTCCAAGATACATTCGTAGAAGATATATGAACCAAAATGCCAGTCTTCTTTATTTAGCTGGAATGAAGTATTAAATATAATAATTATTACACTGTAATACAAGGGTATGATATATTTATTAATTTGAAAATAAATATATAATTATCGGGCCGAGTTCTGGAATGGAGATGCCAATGCCAGTCTTCTTTATTTAGTTGGAATGAAGTATTAAATATTATAATTATTACACTGTAACACAAGGGTATTATATGATATATTTATTAATTTGAAAATAAATATATAATTATCGGGCCAGGTTCTGGAACGGGGATGCCAATACCATCCCCTACCCATATCCGACGGGGATTCCCGTACCCTATTCCCATTTTGCCCCGAAATCACTTCCCGTTAGTGGGTGGGGGGGGAACCGAAAAGGTCCCTTTTTCGCCTGGCACTCCTACATATTGGTGGCCTTTTGTCACTTCAATACGGTCAATAATCTTCATCTTCGAAAACGCCGTATCGATCTTCTCTGCTGCAATGAGAATACAAAACTTTATTAATAACTAATCATGCTAAACAATTGATCGATGTGCACATACATATACACGGCGCTCCTAAAGAGAGATTTCTTTTGTTTTCAGAAAAGGAAAATCCCTTGTGACGCCTTGAATAATCTAAACTATTTTTAGTCTCTATTTAACTATTTGGGAAAGAGACTAACTGGTTTCTGAAAATTGGGAAACTCTGGCAAACACGGCTTTGGATGAGAACAACAGCAATAGGATGAAGAGACTCATGTAAACAGCGTTGCCCTTGGAAACCATTTTTTATGATAGCCAGGTATAAGTTCCCCTCCTCCTTTCTAAATCCCACACCCCCACCTTATATTATATATAATGCCAGTAAACACCACATAGGGAAAATAAAGTCAAGGTCTTTGCGTGTTTCACAAGCCAAGGTCAAGGGCTTTTGGGACACTGGATCAGCTCCCTTGATATTAGCCTTGCAACCTAAATTCACGAACTCGGTCTTTCATCAAATAGTCTAATTGGGGTTTGAGAGATCGACTACTTTCTTTGGTGAATTTGAAGTTGAATGGCAATCAACTTTGGCGTCTATAGCCATATGCATTTGGATCATTAATTGATATTGAATATTTTGATGTTCAAGAATATAAGTTCACAACTAAGTTCACAACTTTGTCTTAAATAAAATACAACATATAATGAATTGTTCAATTACTAATATTACTAAGGCCTTTTATGATAAAACCCCATATCTATTGGACTTTGTAGGTGATTAAGTCAGTGTTGCTAGTAGTGGGCCATTGACCCGTCTCTCTGAAATTTAATATGGTATTAGAGCAAGTTGATTGACTAGGCCTCAATTACTGGGCATTTACCCTTATTCTTACTCAATATGTGGTGTTTACATGATGGGCTTGAATGTTTACCCTTACCCAATATGTGGTGCTGGGCTTGAATATTTGACTCTGATGTGGACTTGGCTCCGATCTAATACCATTTTAAATCTCAGAGAAAATTTCAAAGAGACTGACAGTAGCCCACTACTAACAACATCAATATTGTCCCCAATTTAACCACCTACATTGTCTAGTAGGTGTGAGGTTTTATCACAGCGGCCCTCGGTGTTTTTAAGAGTGGTGTCATTCATTATATATTGTATTTCATTGAGTTAAGTTTTCGATATAAGACTTTATATTCTTCAACAAATTATACTAAGAACAAATTAATGTGTTGTTTTTGCAGGATAACACCAAAATGGTTAGACCATATTATCCTATAAATTACCACCTCTGACGAAAAATTCACATCCCAGATTTTTATGTCTTGTACTAAAGCTTGTGCTGAATTGTTTTTGCCTGACGGCTGACACAGTCCATATGAAATCGATGCATTTGAATATGTTAACCAATTTAGAATTCATAAACTAGCAATCTTAACGTTCAATGATTTGAATTGATGAATTCAGTCATTCAACAAATTGCTTGTACATTTAAAATATGGAAAAGTACTAAGACATGCGACTACATATGTCCTTTGGATTGGACATTTGAATATGTTCCACTCAATTATATATTGTATTTAATTTAAGTTTCCGATGCGATACTTTACTTCTTAGAAACAAATAATTTTCATGATATGATAACCCTAAAACCGAGCCTCTCTAGTGGAGTGGGTGGGGGCTGGAGGTGGAGGAGCAGATCTGATACGGCTTTTTGGTTTCTTCTTTTTGTTCTGGTGTTGTAGGTTTTCGGTGGATGTATTTTTGGCAAAAAGGCTAGTTTTAAATTGAGAACCGCCACTCAATTATAATATGATTGAGAACCACCTACATACTAGTTTTAAATTATTTTATTTTATCACAAAAAGTCTTAGTACTATTAGGTGTGTGAAACTACTCACTTGTGTATATTTTATTTGGTTCAGTCTCCAACATTCTTCAACAACCAAAAACAAAGGACGAACATTTGTGGAGAAAATTCAACAAGAAAATTCAAAATTTGCATTACATTTGTAGTGTAGGAAAGACTTCAAAGTCTTCTCCTATCCAGAATTCAAAATTTTCATTTAATTTAGGGGTAATTACCCTTTTAGTCACTGAGTTTATGGTCAAATTTAAATTTGGTCACCAAAATTTCAATTTTTTGATTTTGGTCACTCGGGTTAGCATCGTCAGCAAATCAAATCCAATTGACCCATGATGTTAGTTAAGACGCATGCAGGGGGCAAAATTGAAACTCCACCATTTAAACAATTATTAAATATAAAAAAATAAAGCAAAAAAAAAAAACAATTAAAGAACAATTAAATGGCATGGCTGGAATAACAGGCCACCTTCCTTCTATTATATATAATACGCCAGTAAACACCACACAAGTTGTAGGACTAGCTTCCACTGATTAGCCTAAAAGATTTGTTTTGGGAGTGCTTTTGAAAGGGCTAAGGCCCAGTTTGGGATTGCTGTCACTTTTAAAAAAAAGTTGCTTATGTTGTGCTTTAAAAATAATTAGCTGTAAAGTAAAGCAACTCCATGTTTGGTAAACAATATTTTTAAAGTACTGTTAGTACAAAAAGCAGTGTCAAAACCATTTGGTCAATTTTAATATAAAATTGTTGTAACTGTAAATAATGACTAAAATAGACAGGATGTTAAAAGTGTTATGTACTAATCATGTGGTGGTGGTGGTAGTGATGGAGTGGAGGTGGTGGTGGGGATGGCAGTTGTGGAGGTGGTGGTGGTGGTGGTGGTAGTAGGAGCATGGTGGTGGTGGTGATGTTGGTTGTGGAGGTGGTGGCGGTGGCGGATGTGGAGGTTTTGGATAAGGTGGTGGTAGTGGTGGTGATGGTGAGGTGGAGGGGGAGGTGAAGGTGGTGGTGGAGATGGTGGAGGAGGTGGTGGTAGTGGTGGATGAGGAGGAGAAGGATGTGGTGGTTTTGGAGGAGGAGGTGGTGGTTGTGGTGAAGGAGGTGGTGGTGGAGGTGATGGAGGAGGTGGTGGTGGTGGCGGTGGTTGCGGAGGGAGTGAATGTGGTGGTGCAAGTGGTGGAGTTGGATGGTGGAAGTGGAGGGGGGGTTATTTTTTAAAAAGAATGATGGTATTTTGGAAATTAAAAAAACAGTAAAGGTTCATCTCTGCTATTTTTGAAAGCAGCTTTGAAAAGCAACCCAGAGTTTGCTTTTAAAAGCTGCTGTCAAAAGGCCACTGCTTTTAAAACAATCGGGATATTTTAATTTTACCAAACACCTTAAAGTGAAGCAGGTTTTTGGCGAAAAAAAAAAGCAATCCCAAACGAGACCTAAGAGTACTTTTGACACGGTTGACAGAAAAATTTAAAAGAACATTTGGGTCGTAGAAGCACTTTTTGGAAAAATATTTTTAGTGAGCACAATCCTAAGTACTTTTTCATGAAGTACTTGGATTTCTTATGGAAAATTTTCAACTTTTTATAATAAAGGCGATTTTGTTAAAAGCGCGTCCCAAACGAGCCCCTAAATTCACGGTATAAAAGGCGCTTTTGTCAAAAGCACGTCCTAAACGAACCTTAGAGTCAAGGTATTTGCACATTTCAAACCACTTTCCTTTTGTCCCGATGTGGTACATTTTGGTCAGAAACAAAATGAGAACATTGTCAAGCATCCAAGTTGCTAAATATCAATTTCTTCTAACAAAAAAGAAATGTATGAATTTCATCAAAATTCAACAAGAAAATTCATGAATAAATGCAAGACATTGACTTTACCTGAGGTGTAGAAAATCGATCTTTCCCCAAATCGTTTAGTCGGGGTAGTCCCAAAGGACTTTGAGAGATCGACATTTTTTGATGAAAATTTGAAGTTGAATGGCAATCAACTTTGGCATCCTATACCCTATGAATTTGGATGTCATTAGCTGATATCAATATCTTGATTGATGAATTCGATGAGTCAATTCCAAACTTTTTTTCTTTTCAATATCTAATTTTGACGGAAGAAAAATGTATGGAGAAATCATGAAATCAACCAATGGTTTCGATGTCGTCTATTGCATCGCCAAGGGAGGACAGGGAAGTGTGTACAAGGTAAATCTACCATCCTTTCATACAAGAAAACTGAGTTCTGGTTTGTACCATATGCTTCAGTTACTGCATTGACCGTCTTCAGCATATCGTGCTGTGCCGTGAGTCCATAATTTTTTGCATAAAATACTGCAGCCCATTGTTCATCTTACAAAACATATCCTTACAATCTCATATAAAAATCAAATACAATCACATACAATAAATGAAGGAGAGTTATTTTTTGTCCGTGTAGTTTACTGATTTTACCACTTTAGTCCCCATAGTTCCAATTTTATTTATTTTAACATTATTCACCAGCCAAAAACAAAGAATGAACATTGTCAAGCATCCAAGTTATTGCTAACGCTAAATTCAACCACAAAATTCAAACATTGCATTTATAAGACGATGACTAATTAACATACCACCATACCTCTTAGAAAGAAAAGTGAAAGAGATGTCTCAAGCCATCTCAACCACAAAAACTTGTCGATCGCTGGATCCTGGATATATTGTGGAAAACGGAGTCAGTCCATGGCACGCTAGCCCAAGGCCCGTTCGGCAGAGTCCGGGCTTTAGAAATTAATTGAAGTTAAAGCCAACCCAAGACTCTGAAAAGCCCAGATCAATTTGGACAGTTTACATATCAATTTGGACTCTCCCCTTGGTAGCAAATTCAACTTGGGTTTATTGTTTATTTAAAGTTTTGAAGATAAGCCCACTAGAAAGCAGCCCCAAAAAGTCAAGAGGCCCAGGATCAGTTTTGGAAATTTCAGAATCTACCACGATCCCAAAATCAATTACCTAATGGGGTAATTCAATCTAATCCACCCAAGCTTTTGTTTCGAAAGATACCCAGTCCCCAATTTGTCTCCAATTTGTTTCGAAAGAACCCAGAGAGACAACCATCACCGTTGATCTCCAGGACAGCAGACAAGAAAAGGGAATTTTCCCACTATCACAAAGCCCACATGAACTAAAGTTGAAAAGAGGCAGAGGAATTCCAGGAAATCGGTGGGAATAGGTAGAAAACAGAGCCAAAAGGTATTAACCATCATGACAATTTGGATTGACATGCAAAATACCACGGTTTCGACAATACAAGATGGGTTTGCAATAGTTAAAGAACAAATTATAGCAAGTGGCTGCCAAATATCAAGGAGTGAAACTTTCTGGACTTTGCCTATAAATTCAGAAGAATGTGAACACAATGAAGAACAAAAAACTCAAAATGGCCAAAGCCACAAACTCTCAGTCAAACTAACAAAAATCAAAGATCAATTGATCTCAAAAGCCT